GCAGGAGATCACAGCCACCCGGACCACAGCTGAAGGAGCGATCCAAGCCTCTCAGGTGACTGGCCCCGGACCAGGAGGAGAGACAAGGAGTGGGTCCAGAGGCCCAAGGCCCACGGTGCCCCCAGCCCCGCGGCCTCCTCGCTCAGTCTCTGCTGGGGAGAGGCAGCCAGGCCTGCGGAATGCTGCTCTGGCATGGACACCAGTGGGGGCAGGGGGCTGGCTGTGCTGGCAGGAAGCGACAGAGGAACGCTGCCAGGCCGAGCAGGCAGCAGAGTGAGGACCACAGGGCTCTGGGCTTGGCAGGGCCGCCATTGTGGAGAGGGGGCCTCTGTGGGTCTCTCATGTGGCCACGTCATCATTCAGATGCACCACCCCCACCGCACCCCAAGTTGACTGCAGCCCACATTTGGTCACCCTCCCATGCCCCCTCCTGACAGTCCCACTCAATCCCCCTGCCCCTCCCCACACACATGCACCTGTGCTTACACACCATCCCATGCCCAGCTGCAGCAGTATCCCCGAGTATGCCATCTTACTCATGGGTGGGCAGGGACTCTAGGGCCTGTGCAGAGTGACTTGGTTCTGGATGCCAGGGGAAAATGGAGCAGAGGCCAGATCCCAGGCAGACACCATCCTGTGGTCCGATGGTTGGTCCTTCAAGATTGTATGGGCCTCCCCTAAGACCAAAATGGGGAGGTCCTTGAGTAGGGCATCTCAAAGCCAGAGAGAAAGCACCTCAGGGGCAAAGATGGGGTGACCAAAAAGTGCCAAGAGAAAGGGGAGGAATGCACACAGCCGGATGGAGGGGTGGGAGAGACCCTGGTGGAAAAAGAGATGGGAAGAGAGAAAGGGGCATGGATGGGGACACGCCTCCAGAGGCAGCCACTGCAGACATTTTGCACTTCTGTAGCCCTGGTAGGTACATAACAACTGGCTTAGCTCCCAGAGGTCTTGGGCGAAGGCCAGGCCACAGCAGCTTACATGCCACACCAGCCCACCACCGCAGGGCTGCCTCTGCCTCTCCATCCCCACCCACTTCTCATCTGACTCAGTGGATCCTGGCACCATCCTGGGAGGTAGCAAGGAATCCTGTAGTCTCTGGTTAGATAAGGACAGCCAGGCCCAGCATCAGGAGCCGGGAAAGGAGGCCAGGCAAGGTGGCCTCCCCCACGGCTGGGAGGAGCCTGGCAGAGAGGACTTCAGGGACACTCCTGGGCCCACTTCCCAGTCATGGCTTGGCAAGCCAGCATGACCAAGGTAGGGCTGCTGGCCCCCTTGGGATTGGCCTATGTTGCAGCAGTCAAGCCAAAGGAGGGGCTAGAGGTGGGAGGAGGAGGGGGGTGAAGGGGGGGGTGTCGGTCTCCACGAAGACCCTAGCAGTTCCCCTTGCTTCTTTGGCCTCCAACCTATCTGGGGGAGCCCCAGGCAGAGCCTGAGCTCTATGAGAGGCTGTTGGCACTTGGGTCACAAGAGAACTGGAAGGAAGGGGCTGTTTGAATAGCTTAGCCTGGGCTCCAGTGGAGCTGCTCAGAGCCGAGGCCAGCATGCTGAGGGAGTGCACATCAGCTGGAGCAGAGGGAGGGGAAGGGCACTCCAGGCAGAGGGAGCATCTGCAAGGGCCAGGAGTCAGGCCTTTGATGCCATGGAGTCCAAATTCTTGTCTGGTGGGAGCGCCCAGCCAGATGGAGACAGCAGCGTTGCCCTCTGCGCCTTGGCAAGGGCCATGCCATGGGAGCTTCACTCCAGGCTTGGTCAAGCCAGGCTTTCTGGAGAGGGTCGGAGGGACTGGGTTAGTGGGGAGGGGATCCTGGGCCAGGATGGCATGCCCCAGCGGGAAGCCAGGAGCTGGTGGGGATGAGGGCAGAGCTTGAGGAGCCTGAGGCACTTGAAGCTGGGTGCTGGGGAGGTCAGCAGCTGTGCCCCTGCCTCTTGAGATCAGCTCACGGGTTTTTTCACAACTCCCCTTAGCATCCAGCCCCAAGCTTCTCTCTCATGTTAGGGAGGAAGAACAGACCCAAACAAGCAGCTCCTAGGCTCAGAGAAGCCAGACTCACCCCTATCTAACTAAACCTGGAAAGACCAGGATGGTGTGTGTGTGTGTGTGCGCGCGCGCGTGTGTGTGTGCAGGCTCAGCCTCCCTGGTACCGTGGAGCTGTGAAAGTGCTGTAGCTGAGATGGGGAGGAGGGAGAGCAGAGTGGCTATTTGGGCTGGCACTTCAGTCCCAGGTCATCCAGGGCCTCCTGCAACTAAAATCTACCACCAGGCCAGATTCCCTAAGCAAAGGTCTCACTGGCCTCAATGCCTCTGGCTGAATTTGCTTTTATTTTGAAGATATAAAGGACCCCTCTGAGCAACCACTCTGTGGCACAGTCCTTAAGGGTTCTGGCCCAGAGCCAGACTGCCTGGGTTCAAGTTCTGCCTCTTCCTAAAGTTGGGTAACTAGATCAATTGCTTGGCTTTTACAATTCAGCTCCTCCCTCCGAAGAACTGGGATATTAAGGCCTCCTCCCTCCTGGAACTGGTGAGGATTAAATGCTTAGAACCAAGCACACAGCCACGTAGTTCAGGGAAGCTGGCCCATGGGCTTGCCTCCAGGAGGGTAGGAGGTCCACAGGTTCACGTGGAGGGCCAGGCTCAATCATTAATGAGAGGCCTGGGGTCCCTTGACCCATCAGGGTGGGAGAGGATCCTGGATGCAGCTAGGGAGGCCTGGAATGCCAAGGCCATGACGTCTGTGCTGCTGAGGGAATGCAACCTGCTGGTTTGAATTAGGTCCCCACCCTCCAGCAGATGTATCCTATTAATGCCAAACTCAGTGGAGGCAGAACATAAGCCACACCTCTCCAATCCCACACCCAGAGATCTATGCACCCCCACCCTGCAGGGCCCTGGGTCAGCTGGGATTTCCCTGCCACCCCACCACCCCACTGGAGCTATTGGATTTGATTCACACGGAGACAGGGACCAGGGAGCGTTGCCTCTTTCTACTGAAACCTTTGAGAACAGACCACCCCAGCCCCCTGCCCTTTGTGCAGCTGCTTGCCTCCTCTGTCCTGGGGCAAGCAGGTTGTCACTCAGGGCACCGGGCTCCTGCGCAGCAGCCTCTACAGCGGTTCTCAACCTGTGGGTCACGACCCCTTTGGGGGTCGAACGACCCTTTCACAGAGGTCACCTAAGACCATTGGAAAACATATATAATTACATATTGTTTTTGTGATTAATCACTATGCTTTAATTATGTTCAATTTGTAACAATGAAAATACATCCTGCATAACAGTAGCAAAATTACAGTTATGAAGTAGCAACGAAAATAATTTTATGGTTGGGGGTCACCACAACATGAGGAACTGTATTAAAGGGTCGCGGCATTAGGAAGGTTGAGAACCACTGCTATATAGCATCAAAGAACTCCCTCCCCAGCTCCTTCCATCACAAGTTCCTCAGGGGACTCCAGCTCTGCCTTCACTACAGGCAGCAGCAGCAGCAGAGTAGATGCCCTCTCCCAGGCCCCTCACCTGGTTGCAGAGACTAACGCGCAGGCTTCTCACTCCACACTGACTGGAGCCTCCTTTCCCTTCCACAGTGACGTCTGGCCATTGTTCATGGTCGCCTGAGAGGGGCATTTCCTTGGATTATCTTACCTCCTGTTCAAAGCCCAGCTGATTCAGAATAGTCAAGACCAAAGCCCTTGACATTTCCCCCAAGACTGCCCAGCTGATGAAGGTGGTCACTATCAGAAGGGGGATGAAGACACCAGGCTCAGTAGCAAATGAGACCCCGCAGGAGCCTCACTTGGGAATTTTCCACAGCGACTTGCACATTTTCTTTACATTCTAAAGCAACACATCCAGGCTGGACTACTGTCAGGAACTGCCTGACTTGGGGGTCCTCCTTTTACTGAATTTTGAAAATGGAATCTCTACAAGCCTTACTGTGAGGTTATGTTGTATTCACTAAGCAAATACAAACTCTGGAGTGCCGAGGAGGCAAAAGTTAATTGTACTTGCCCTGCGAATCCCCCTGTGGCTGCTATAAATACCCCGTGTTTCCTCCAGGAGAGCGTGCCATGTGCCTGCTGGTGAACCACAGGAGGGAGGTGTGGAGGCTGGATAGGTGGGTTAGCAGCACCGTGCAGATGGAACGGTCACGTTCCTTCCTCAGCAAAGACATCTGCGTGCAGGTCACAGCTGGGTGACAGCAGCACAGCCTGGAGGAGCTCGGAGTCAGCAGGGAAGGGGACGTCTCTGCCTGAAGCTCTCGGGCTGCGCCTCCTGCCCCATCACTAATGCTCAGCTACAAGATGAAGGCGCCTCGGAGCTGGGTCAGCAAAGACGCGAGCTTTCCTGTTCCACTTCAGAAAGACTAGCTGAAGTGTGGGGCGTAAAGAAAGATGAAACAGACTCCGCCTTAGACTAAGTATATATTTTAATTTCTACAAGGTCCCCCTTTCAAGTCTTGGGGAATTTAAACGAAGTGTATACAAATTACACATTGCTGATATGTACAAAATTATTTTCTAGTTTTTAAACAATACCAGCCATATCATGTTTCATTTGCAGTAAACAGGACATTACAAAAACAGTCCAACAATGCATTTTCTATTAAGCACAATACACAACATAATTCAATTTTATTTATAAAATAACTTAAAATACAGAATAATCCCCTTAGGAAGAAAAACTGTCTCTGTAGTTCATTCAGTAAACACATAAGCTGAAGGCTGCAGCCGAGGGCTGTTCTTTTCAATGGAGAAAACAAATGAGGCTTCCAGGGCCCACCTTTTCAGGATAAAACTCCACCCGCAGCCCCAGTGGGTGAAGTTACTGCCTGTGGTAGGCAGAATTCTCCAGTGCCCCCTCCACCCCCATATCCATGCCCAATCCAGGACCGTGTGAATAGGGGACCGCTCCTGTGATGATATGTTCTATGACCTTAAAATAGGGAGACTAGCTCGGTAGGCTGGATCTAGTCACATGAACCTTAAATCAGAGGAGGAAGGCGGAGAGATCTGAAGCAGGAGGGCTCGATGGCCACCACTGGTTTGAACATGGAGGGGAGCACATGGGAAGGAACTGGACCAGCCTTAGGAGCCGAGAGGCCCCGACAGAAACGGAATACTGCTAACCCCCTGAATGAACACGGAAGCAGCTTCCCTAGAGCCTCCATAGGGGAATGCTGCCCTGCTGGCCCTTGGTTTCAGCCTGTGACACCCTGAGCAGAGAACCCAGCCATACCACGCCAGATTGCGAGCTACAGAACTGGGAGCTAACAAACAGGTATTGTTTTAAGCTGCAAGTTTGGGGTAATTATTTACAAAGCAATAGAAAACCAACACACTGCCCAAGGGTAACTTTTCTTAACATAATTAGATTTGGCAGTTTTTGTTTGGGTTCTAAATGCAGTTATTTTCCCCACTGAGTATCATTAAAGCAATATTCTCCATTGTAGGCAACTTTTGAAAACCCCTCATGTGAATCACACAATGTTTTGTATTCACTAGCAAGAACATTTGACTTAAGTCCTGTTTTCTAATGTACTCTTATCTATCAACTTGGCAAACTACTGACCCCTTAACCCTGTTAATGAACCTTTTATGGGTAATGGTTTGAATACATCCAAGATCATCCTTCCACCCTTCAAGGGTTGTCCAATCCCTCCAACGAAGGGCTCTTTCCCCCATCCCAAGTACACCAGGCAAGGCCCGGGGCAGGATGGCACCGAGTTCTACGTCAGACATCCCATATGCATTTCTTCTGCATAACTGGACTAAACTGGCACTAAGGTGATTAAGTACACTTGTGGAAAAACTCCAACCAGATAAAACAAAAAATCACACCGGTTTTTACAGGTCAAGTCATTTTTGGAGGAACCACCCCAAACTGAACGTGTAATTTGTGCAGTCCGTACACCTCTTTCCCTGTCTGTTGTCCTGGGTTTAGTCATGTCACCAAGGCTTCACTGAGTCAGCGTGGCCACAGCGGAAACAGGAAAACCACTTAGAACCGTCCAACTACTGCTGTGTCTCTTACTTGAAAGACTTAGGAGCCCCGCACATGTGCGGGATGGAGGCAGGTAGATGTTGGTGGTACTTTTGAAGTCCATTCTTCAGTCCACCCTTCCAGAGGCACACACGTCAGCCAAGGAGACAGTGGCCACACAACCCCTTTTGCCAATCCTGCCTGGCCCAGGAGACCCCCAGCCCACATCATGGCCTGAGAGGACCCCTCCAAATATTCAGTGAATATAGCTGAGAAGGAACCGTGTTTGGTGCCAGTGAATAAAAAAAATTTTTTTTAAATTTCTCTCTTAAGAGATTGTAACGTATAGTATAGAAGAACAACGCCTAAAGAGGCACCAAAAGGTACCAAGCACCAAAGGGTGAAGTGGAGTAGAATGGTTTTCACAGTCTAAACTTCTGAGAGTGCTTATTAGAAAGCACATGAAGCATGAGGTGCTCAGCCGGTGCACGTACTATAGTTAAGGCTGATTCATTCTCAGCCTCGCCTGCCAACATGAAGTAATACAGATAGCGGGCTGTGTAATGACCACTTTCCTGATCCTCTGAGACAACACAGAAGGAATGAATCAAGAGCCCCAAAGCCACTACCTCATGCTCCTGGCTACCATCAGTATCAATCTAGGTGGCTTGATTTTAAGAGCACATATGTGTTAGACTCTGTAACTGGTATATAAACATTTGGCCACCTTTAATAGTTCTCCACAGGTCTGTGCTTGGCAGCAAATACTGAACCTGAACAATGGGCAAAAAAACTCTACATTCTAAGGAACACCGAAGATGGGAGAGAAAACATCTATCTAAAATAATATTGCAAATTATACTAAAATTTCATGGTTTCTTGATTCAAGAAAATGAAATTCACTTCCATAGTTGGCTACTGTACGTAAAATGTGGCATAAAAATATTTTTAGGAGACATATCTGTATTTTAAATTCTGCACACAAATAAATGAACAAGTAACAATTAAGAAGTGCCTATTTTTGAAATTCAGTTCTAATATTGAAATAGAACAACAGACTGCCATTAAGTTTCTTAAACTTTTAAGTTACCAGATATTTACAAATAAGATATAATTCATATCAAAAAGGGGACATTTTCAACTATATCTGCTGCTTTCACTGGGACTCCGGTGATGAGAGTAACTTCGGTCACTTTCACTGTCAGAGCCATAGGATCTACAGCTCCTGTATAACAAAACAAACACACAAACACCTTTAGCTGTCAATCCGCTGAATTCCTCACCTGAGGATATTTTCCATTGATTTTTAGAGAGAGTGGAAGGGAGGGGGAGAGACAGAAACATGATGTGAGAGAGACACATCGATTGGTTGCCTCCTGCATGTACCCTGACTAGAGCCAGGGATGGAGCCTGCAACTGAGATACGTGCCCTTGGCTGAAGTTGAACCCTTGACCCTTCAGTCTGTGGGCCAATGCTCTAACGACTGAGCAAAACTGGCTACTAGGGATGTAGCTTCTTATTTACAAGAGTGGATTGAAGGTGCTGATGTGGTGACACTGGACTTTTCAGAGATGTTTTAAATGACAGATAGTAATATCAAGGTTAAGATAAAATGTTTTAAATGACAGACAGTAATATCAAGGTTAAGATAAAATAAAGAAACATTACATCTTGGAAAATTCCTTGAAATCCACTCATGCAAATGAGCAGAGTAATTTTCCATGCTACCCAAATGATCATCAATATTTCATCAGACTGAGGAAGTGAGGGGTATGGAAAGCAAAATGGTGCCCAGTGAGGGGTGAGGGTTGGGGCATGGACAGGAGCATTATGATCGTGCGTCAAGAGGACATGGTCACCATCCAGTTAGTTTGAAAGATATTCACTGGGAGCCAGTCACTTTGCTAGATACCAGGAACACACACACACAAAAGTAGACCAAGTACCGTTCCCGGGGCTCAAGGATAGTACAGAAGAGTGGCAAGACAAATGACATACACAGGGGTGGGGGTGGCTTATCTCAGGTCAGCAGTCAGGGAGGACTTCCCAGGGGCAGTAGGCTGCAGTGGAGACCTGCAGGCTAAGTGGGGATTGGCCATTTCAAGAGGTAGGACGGGAGATAGTGGCGTGGGGGTCTCTAGGAAGAAGCAAAGGTTTCCAGCACATTAAAGGGGGAGACAGAAAAGCCTGGGCTGAAGGTGTGGGTGGAGAGGCCTGAGGTGCAATGCTAGGACCTGGACGTGTGCCGGAGGGCAGTGTGGATGGAGCCCTTGAAGAGTTTCAAACAAGGAAGTGTCCAGATTACACATAGCATGATATTCTACAAGGATCACCGATTGTCCCTGCAGTGGGTGGGGGAAGGGTATGACCGAAAGTCCCCAGGAAAGGGATATTACAAAAAGTCACCGTAACAACTTGCAGCGTTAGGCAAAATGTTACATAAAACATAATATTTATAAATATAATATATAAGAAACACATTTTCCCCCAAATAAATGACAAGATACAAACCTCAATTCTGCTGTTAAAGCAAATAATTGTGACATTTTATTATACATTTATTTTTAAAAATTGACAAACTGGCTTTGCTGTTTCTAGCAACAAGCCCCATTTTAAAAAGTGGGCCATGCTTTGGGTGGACTTCTCTCTTTACTCCTTCCAAGAGAAATGTTTGTCTAAGGAAGACGTGAATATTTAAAAATCCATTTGAGAGTCAACATTAACAATAACTAACAAACATTCCCTGGCAACTCTTAATACAAAGGCCACATTTAGTAGCTGCCTGTGGGTTGCTGAAATTCAAGAGGAGGAAAAGGATTTCTGTCCTAAGAAGATTATGCTTTCTCTCCTAAGTCTACCGCCTCGCACACCCAGTGCCCACAGGGACGTGTAGTGTTCTGGGGAGGGACCCACCTGGACCGCCTGTTGTAGCTTCTGCCTCGGTGGTAACTGTCGCTCCTCTGGCTGCGGCTGCGACTGCGACTCCTGCTGTAGTAGCTATCGTAAGTGTAGGACCTGCTTTAACAGCAACAACAAGCACTAAGGTTTCCTACTCAAGCACTCATATTCCCACTTATTTTTAGGAGCTTCAGGCTGTTTTCTTAGAACATGGGCACTATTTGATGGTGTGAGGCACATGTGCATAACAAGTACTGAAAACATTTAACAAATTCCCCAAATCAGACTTACCATATTAAACAGAAAAATGTTAATTCTTTTCTGCATTGAAAAATATCACAAAATTAACACTGAGTTAGTTGGATTGAATCTGGTGGGTATCAGGCAATTATATTCAATAAACACCTGCCATTACAATTTGACATCAATTGTCCCTTTTGACACTAGAGTACAATGGGCCAACAGAAAAAAACTGTCAAAGAGACCTCATTTCATTTAGAAAAGGTATGATTTCATGAGACAAATATGTGTGTTTAAGTTTCTCAATAAAATGCAACACATTTTAAAGGGAATTAAGGGTTTTATAAAACAAGGCCTCTCAATTCTGCCCCGCAGGTGGCTGCCCAGTCCCCGTGCATACCTGGACCGGCTGTGGGGATCATATGAGGTGCTCCTGGACCTGCTCCTGCTGGACGTCCTAGTAGTAATCACAGGAGGGACTGTCATCTTAGGGGTCAGGACAAGCTACATCAAAACTCTAGACACTTATTTGCCCATCAAGAAGAAAATCCAGCAGCTATACTGATTCTGTCTTTATCTCAAAAGCATGTTGGATGTTTTAAAAAGCATGTTGGGTTTCATAAGAAAGATTAAGTTTCTGCTCTTCTGCACCTAAAGAAAGTCACTTTGACCTGGGGTGGTAAACACACAATACAGCACACAGATGATGCACTGAAGAACTGTATACTTGTAACTTGCATAATTTTATTAACCACTGTCACCTCAATAAATTCAATAAAAAAAAAGAAAGTCAGTGGGGAGGCTCTATCTGGGTGGGGGAGGAAGATCTGCCCAGGGAGGACACTTATACGTAAAATGAAGCTGCAGCCGTGGGAAATACCCGAGAGGCCTCCTTTCTCCTTCTGGTTCCCCCTTTAAAACTCCTCCTATCCCAATCTCTCACCCAACTCAAGAGGTGACTGCAGATGTGGTTAAGGAAGATGTACTGTGAGTCGGGAGGAGGAGAAGGTAGAGGTCACAGGGCCTCTTTAAAATATTTCTACTGCTTCCCTTTCCTCATTCTGGGAAGATCCCAGCCTGAGAACGGCCAGTAAGAATCTGACTGCCCTTTTAAAGAAAGAACTAGATGAGGAAAAAGCTGGACTGGCCTTCAGCAATGACAGGCCTTGAGAAGCAGACGGGATGGAGACCATACAGGAGGGCGGGTTCCCGCTCACCTATGACTTTTGTAACTGCGGGAGGAACTGCTCCGGCTTCTTGTGCGGCCTCTGCTGTACCATCCTCTGCTCCGACTTCTAGAGTAGCTTCTCGATCTACAACGAAGAGTGGAAAACTGTAATCATAGCAACTCCCCATGCTGTTAAACTTAATTACTTAGAGGGCAGGAAGGGGAAAGCAGTCAGAGGGAAGGTCGTTGGGAAGATCTCTCAGGCACTCCTCACAGTGGGTATGGCAGTGACAGCTAACAAGGGTTTAAAGTGCACTGAATGAAATAAAGAAAAGCCAGGAAAGGCTGGTACAGGTATGTCTATAGGAGCCCTATTAGTAATACTGGAAGAGGAAACAATCCAATCTTTATCAATGGTAGAACGGGTTAAAAAAATTAACGCACAGATTTATACTGAAATGTTCTAAAGCAGAAAAATGAATTAACTACAGCCTTGTGTATCAACTGAGCTATCTCTCTGGAACATAATGTTGAGTGAAAAGGCAAATGTAGAACATCCTATCTAATAATAGACAAACATGATAATTAACCATACCTCCAACACACTTCCCATTGGCTAATCAGGGAGATATGCAAATTAACTGCGAACCAAGATGGCGGCCGGCAGCCAGGCAGCTGAAGCGAACAGGAGGCTTGCTTGCTCCAGTGATGGAGGAAGCCAAGGTTCCCCGCCTGCCGCTGCCGGCCTCTGAGCTGCACTCTAAGAAACAATGTTGCAATTATAGAAGCTAAACAAACCCCAGAAACCTGCTTTCAGCCAGCCGGGCCTCAGAGCTGGAGTTGCAACAGTGTTTCAATTATATAAGCCAAACAAACCCAGATACCTGGCTTTCAGCAGCCGAGGTCTCAGAGCTGGAGCCGAGCCTCAGAGCTAAAGACGGCTCTCAGTTCCAGTGACAGCCATAGAAGGTAAATAAATCCCAGAATAAAAAAGAAAAAAAAAGAAAAAAAGGAGAGGTTGGGAGCTTCAGTCGCCCGCCAGCCTGAAAACGGCCCTCAGCCCCTCAACCAGACTGGCCAGGCACCCCAGTGGGGACCCTCACCCTGACGGGGGTGTGACCAGTTGCAAACAGCCATCATCCCCTCATCCAGGCTGGCCAGGCACCCAAGCGGGACCCCCACCCTGATCCGGGACACCCTTCAGGGCAAACCAGCCGGCCCTCACCCGTGCACCAGGCCTCTATCCTATATAGTAAAAGGGTAATATACAAACTGACCCTAACAGCAGAAGGACTGGAAATGACTGGTCACTATGACACACACTGACCACCAGGGAGCAGACGCTCAATGCAGGAGCTGCCCTCTGGTGGTCAGGGCGCTCTCACATGGGAGGAGCTCTATTCAGCCACAAGCCAGGAGGATGGCTGCCAGTACAGCGGTGGTGGTGGGAGCCTCTCCTGCCTCCTCAGCAGCGCTAAGGATGTCTGACTGCAGTTTAGGCCTGCTCCCCGCTGGCAAGTGGACACCCCCCGAGGGCTGCCGGGCTGCCAGAGGGATGTCTGATTGCCATCTTAGCCCAATCCCCCGGGGAGCGGGCCTAAGCCAGCAGGTGGTCATCCCCTGAGGGGTCCCAGACTGCGAGAGGGCACAGGCCAGGCTAAGGGACCCCCTCCTCCCTCCCGAGTGCACAAATTTTTGTGCACCAGGCCTCTAGTATATAATAAAAGGCTAATATGCAAATCGATGGAATGGTGGAACGACTGGTTGCTATGACGCGCACTGACCATCAGGGGGCAGATGCTCAACGCAGGAGCTGCTCCCTGGTGGTCAGTGCGCTCCCACAGGGGGAGTGCTGCTCAGCCAGAAGCCCTGAGCTGGGCTCACGGCTGGCGAGCACAATGGTGGTGGCAAGAGCCTCCCCCGCCTCCGCAGCAGCGCTAAGGATGTCCGACTGCTGGTTTAAGCCGTCAGTTGGACATCCTCTGAGGGCTCCCAAACTGCGAGAGGGTGCAGGCCAGGCTGAGGGACCTCCGCTGTGTGCACGAATTTTGTGCACTGGGCCTCTAGTTACTTATATAACCAATAATTAAACTCTAATTTTTTAACCTTAAGAACTATAGTCATGTTAATCTTTGTATATTTGCCTGATTACTTTAAGAGTTCTCAAAAGTGGAATTGTTAGGTAGAAGAGGATATATATATCCTCCTATATAATAAGAGGCTAATATGCAAATCTACCAAACGGTGGAACGACTGGTTTCTATGATGTGCACTAACCACCAGGGGGCAGACGCTCAACGCAGGAGCTGCCCCCTAGTGGTCAGTGTGCTCCCACAGGGGGAGCACCACTCAGCCAGAAGCCAGGCTCATGGTTGGCAAGCGCAGCAGCGGTGGTGGGAGCCCCGCTTAGCGCAGGGAGCGGGCCTAAGCTGGCAGTCGGACATCCTCCAAGGAGTCCCGAATTGTGAGAGGGCGCAGGCCGGGCTGAGGGACACCCCCCCAGTGCATGAATGTTGTGTACTGGGCCTCTAGTGTGTGTGTGGATATGTATGTGTATGTATGTGTGTGTGTGTGTGTGTGTGTGTGTGTGTGTGTGTGTGTATAGACTAAGGATAGAAACATTTGTGGTAAAACTATAAAGAAAAGGATAGAAACATTTATGGTAAAACTATAAAGAAAAGCAATAAAACTCAAAGGGAAGTGAGAATAATGTTTAACTCTAGGAGAAAAGAGAGAAAGTAGGGTAGCATGGGTAGGGCTACATCAGGGATGTCAAAGTTCTATACTAGTATTTTAAGTTAGATGACATTTTTTATTACTTCTTATACCTTAATCACTTATTTTATTTGTATATCTATTTAATATTTAATAAAACAAATAAAAACTCAAGTAATGCAATCCTACCCCTCTGCACTCACTTGGCCCCCTGCCCTTCTCCCCAGTTCATACATGTTACTCAGGATCAGGACAATAGCCCTAGTGTAGGCTACTTATGTAATGTAGTACCTCACAGGTTTCATGCAGTTTTGAACACATTATGTCCTAATAAGATTCTGGTCATTTACCCAGCAAGCACTTATAAAGCAGACTCTGTGAGGGACTGGAATATGAGTAGGGAGCAGTCTCTGGATTAGCAGACATTTAGTCCATCCAAAATGTCCATCTGGCTGACACCAAATGGTCCCTGATATTTGGTCCTGTCAAAAACATCCATGTTTAGAAAACATCCCTGGGTTCAAAGAGCTCATGTTTATTTCTATATATATTTTTAATCCTCACCTGAAGATACGTTTACTGGTTTTAGAGAGAGGAAGAAAGAGGGAGGGGGAGGGGGAGAGGGAAGGAGTGAGTGAAACATGGATGTGAGAAACACCACCTTTCGGTGTACAGGACAATGCTCCAACCAACTGAGCTACACCAGCCAGGGCTATTTATATTTTTTATTTAATACATAAAAAATACTATCATGTTTTAGTGGTCCAATAACTGTGGGGTAGCTGTACTGCCAACAACAACACCCCTTCCCACCCACCGCCCTTGGGGTTAGGCAGATCAGAAGATATGGACCAACTGTGTCCACGGATGCTTTGGATAGGACCAAGATGTTCTGCAAGCATTCCCTGACTTTAACGAGTTCACAGCCTAGTAGGGGCATCAGGCCTAGGTGGGTAACCAAAACAGAGAGGCAGAGTTCAGCTATCTCAGTCTACTACCCTTAGCTGAACAGCTTAGAGCAATTTCCTTAGCTTCTCTATGCCTCACTTCATTTATAAAATAAAATACCACCCACCTCAAAGGTACTAAATGGGAGTGGCCAGCATCACCAACAGCTCAGAGCTATCAGAGTGTAAATGGGAAGGCAGATGTTGAGCAGACAGGAGGCTGGAGTAGCTAAACAGGCAGCTGCACCAGGGGGTGGGCCTAAGCTGGCAGGTGGACATCCCCCGAGGGGTCCTGGACTGCGAGAGGGCGCAGGCTGAGCTGAGGGGACACCTGGCCCCCCCCCCAAGTGCACGAATTTTTGTGCACTGGGCCTCTAGTAAAAAATAATACTGAATGTCAATTGTACTTGGAAAAAAAAATATATATATATATATAAAAATATAATATAATACACACACACACACACACACACACACACACACTAGATGCTCATCTTGAGCAGGCAACTTTGTCTCTCTGGTCCTCATCTCTCATGTATGTGAAGTGGAGGGTTAGATAGATAATCTCTAAATCCTTTCCATCCTGTAAATTCAGGATTCACCACCGACAGGTGAGAGAGCAGCTTCACACCTTTAAAGATTAACAACTTGCCACCTAGCATAGCAACTGATTTCTATTGCCAGGGAGCTTCAATTGCAAGTGAGAGCCTTTTACAATGAGCCTAATTTCTTCCCTGAAATCTACTCCATGTCCTCAATCTGCTGAGTCACATAGCACAAGACTTCTCCTTATTCACCTTCCAGATATTTGGAAATAGTGATCTTGTCCCTAATTCTGATGTTCTTCCAAGCTAAACAATAACAGACTCTCTTTGAGAGGGGAAAAAAAAAAGAAAGAGAACATTGCTCACCGATAAGATGATGTGGAACTTCGAGATCGACTTCGTGAGTGACTGTAGGAGACGGACCTGGTTCTATGTCTTGATTTGGTTTCAGATTTGCTCCGAGATCGACTTGGACTCCTGGACTGGCTGTCACCATCCCGACTAGGTGTCTGCTCATCACTTGAACTCTCCTGATTTCTAGGCCTCCGGTTTAAGCGTGCTGTCTTTCTCACTTCATCAAAGAGGGATCCAGGCCGAACTTTATTTTTGCTTTTAATTTCTATTCTCAAGCCTTGTGGTTTCATTTCAGGCACCGCCGTCAATGCCTTAACTTCCACGGCACTGGATGTAGCCGTTGGTGCTGCCAGGTTTCCCACCCCTTGCAGGGGCTTCCATTTATTATCCAGGAGGCTGACCTGACCCCTTTCGGCCGCCTCCCTCCTCACTGTGCTTTCCACAGCACTGGCTGAACCCGCAGAGCTGCTGTCGGGTTTCCCCACCTCCCGCACCGTGGGGCTTTCAGACACGCTGCTTCCCTGTTTCCCCACCTCTGCCGCAGGATGCTCTGCCTGCTTTACAACAATGCCGGTGTCTGGGGTGTCAAGCCTTGAATTTCCCAGAGGGGATGTTCCCTCCACTTTTGCTGGGGAACTCCTATCAGGAGTACAAATCTCCATGTTGTCATCTGCTTGAAACATGTCTTCCACTCCGCCTGGGACACTTTCTTCAATGTGCTGAATGTTTGGGGGAGAACTAGCGACATTTTCCTCAGTAGCTGAAGGTGTGGGAGAAATGCTGAGTTTACTCTCATCATTAGCAGGCTGCTCAGTATCTGATAAAATCGTGATTGCATTCTGTTTATCTGAAAGGCTGCTGTCTTCACAGGGCTTCTCAGTTTGGGGGATATTTCCTTTTGTAGTTTCACTGTTTTCAGAAGCTTGTTTTTTCTCCTGTGACTCCTGAGTCACTTGCTTTTCATTACTCTCCTCCTCCTCCTCTTCACCAAATTCTAGTGGGGGCTGCCAGTGAAATGCTTGTTTTCGTTTTGGGGCCTTATGCTTTTTGTCTTTTTTCCCTTTCATTTTCTCTTTCACTTTTTTGGTGTGTTCCCTTTTCAGAGCTTCCTTTGACGCGTGTTTGTGCTTCCTTGGCTTTCCCCTAGGGTTTTCCGAGTTGGAATAGGACCCCTCAGAATCAGAGGTGGATGACCGCTGTTTGCTTGACTTCCAAGCACCATTACCATCGGGCAGTGAAGAACTTGTTGAAGACTTTGTTGTGGGTTTGGCTTTGATGTGAATTTCACCAAACTCTGATTCAGAATCTGATGTGGCCTCACCTTCCTCCTTATCAGAAGACGGCAGGGAATTCTTTTTACTGCTCTTAGTTACATCTCGTTCGGAATTCGACTCAGAGTCCCATTTACTCCCAGCATAATTCTTCCTTTTGGGCTTATTGGCACTTCTAAAGTGATCAGAAAGATTCTCTTTCAAAGTTCTTTTCTTTGAACGCGGGCATTCCCGTTCAGGCTTGGATTTCTCTTCATCTCTGTTTTTCTCTCGTTTGTTATTCATTTCCATTTGGACTTGCTTCTCTTTCTCCTGGGCTGACTGTGTCACCTGAACACCTGAGTGTTCACTGTCTGAAGAATAATCTAAGGATGACCTGCTTTCGCTATACTTTCTCGGGCACGAAGACTTGTCTCTGCCTTTGGTATATTTACTGCAAGGTGCCTTTTCAGAGCTGCTGCTCTGCCTTTTATGTGAAGTGCTATTTTTCCCACTGGATCTAAATTTTCTCTTTGCTCGTCTTCCAGCATCACTGCTAACAGAAGAGTATGAAGATGATCTACTACATTGTGAGCGATCGCTGTATTTATTTCGTGAATGAGATCTAGATGAGGGAGACCTAGACCTCGAGTGTGAACTAGCTACACTTCTCGACCTTGTGTACGATCTGGAATAAGACCTACTCCTAGAGGATCTGCTCCTTGACCTTGGGGAACTTTCTGAACTTCTATCACTGTATTTTGAATAAGCACTCTGATCACTTTCTGAATTTTTTTCTCTTTTATTGTAGGATGATGAACTACCAGTCTCCTTAATATTTGTTAAACTGTAAGTGCTTTGGATGGGTAGCAAATGGGTTGTTTTTGCTTTCATTTCCTGAATTCGCTCATAAGAGGGCTTCCAGGGCTTCTGTCCAGGCTTCCACCTGGAAGGAGGGGGACTGTCACTCAGTGGTATTACAGGAATATGTTCTGCCACCACTGGCTGTTGTACTAGGATGGTTTCATTCTGTGGCACTGTTGCTCTTAAAGGTTCTGTTTTAACTGGTTTATTTTCACTTAGTTGAGGGGCTGTTCTTTTGGGGGACTTTGATGCTGTCCGTTGGTGCCCTGACTTGGAACTAGATCTGGACTTTGATCTACTTGGAGAATGTGAGGAGGATTTCGATGGAGTCCGTGATCTTGAGCTTCCTCTAGAGTAAGACTGGGAGTGAGATTTGGATCTGTATGAGTCTCTGCTGGAATGGGTGGAAGAGCTCTGATCACCCTTATCAGATTTAGACCAGTCCCTCTTGGATGAGTGATGAGAGGATAGCGAGGAAGAACGAGATCTCCTTTCTCTTTCACAAGGGAATTTCATTCGTCGGGTAGAAGATTTCGAGGATTCTATGTCAGATGGTACAATAATCCTTCTCTTCTTAGTCTGTTTGTGTCTTCTGCAATGTTTTTGCTTTTTAGCTTTCTTTTTATGTTTAACTTTTTTGTCTTTTCTGCGTTTTTTATGGTGACCATCAGAGTGTCTTGCTGTACTAAGGTCTGAATAATATCCATTGTAAGACCATGATCTCGATCTTTGGGACAAGCTTCTTTCATCCCATCGGCTTGAACAGGGGTCACTTAACCTATAGAAAATAGCATAATATGCATCCATTACTTCCAAGCATGTTTTGTATATTTAAAAATTTTTAAAAAATGTATTGATTTTAGGAAGAGGGAGAGAAAGAGAGGAAAGGGGGAGGGGAGCAGAGAAATACTGATTTGTTGTTCCACTTATTTATGCATCCATTGGTTGCTTCTTGTATGTGCCCTGACAAGAGATCAAACCCACAACCTTGGTATGTTGGGATGATGCTCTAACCAACTGAGTTACCCGTCCAGGGCTTCTATGTTTTAAAACTAAAACACATTTGTTGTCCATACAAATGCACTGACAAAAGCCTACTTAATGACAGAGTACTGGCTCCATCAACACTTTAAGCACTTGCAGGAAGGATAAATCAGAGTGACTGGCCTGATCCTGACCTTACAACTGCAGACACAGGGGCAACTGCTAACAGAGCCAGTTACAGAAGGTTTTTCTCCATAGCTAAGCAAAGAACTTCAAATTTGATAGGAAAATGTAAAATGGTTTTGAAAACCAAACCAACTAATCATAAGAGCACTGCTGACTACCATGTTCCTGACTGTGAGCAGCTGATAACCCTCTGCCTCCAGGAACAATGTTAAACTCAGTTCCCAAACAATCCTGTGGAGTCCCTGCAGATACAGGACAGCTAGCTACCTGAACTAGAAGAGAAACCCCTTTTGCTTAAGAAGCTGGCAAGACTATCGTTTTAGCTCAGCCTCACAGAGATAATCAAGACCTTCCCCTAAGGTTTAAACTACTTACTACAGAAACTGTACGTGAAAATAGACGCAGGTTTTAAATCTCACTGGTAATGTCAGGCTCAAAATCGAGCGTTCACAGAACCACTGTCTCAATTACTTCCACACCGCAGATGCACACCTTTTCCTTCCTCTTCCCATCTCAAACACGCTACAGGATGCCCACACCGAAAAAGAGAATTTTATCATGAAAAATTACAGAGGGTCCCATTGGTATGTTTTCTTTTTTTTTTTTTTTTTAAGTCTATTTTCACTAGCTATTCTGAGGCCAGCCACATTTCTAAAATAAGCATTTCACTGTGGGGTGTCACTTTGTCCTGGGGTCAGAAGTGAAGGCATACACTGGATACAGATTGTCCTATCTATCAATTCACTCATCAGTGACTAAGAGACCTGGCTATGAAAGTACCTGCCATATCATTTGAAGTCCTGATTATTTCTAAAATTGAACAAGAAATCTTTGAGAGACTCAGTAGGTTTACAGTCTTGTGGGGGAAAATTTTGAATTAAAAGCACCCCAAGGCCATCAGCCCTCCTGGTTCATAGCACTATTTTTGCCAAGTATTCCCAAATGTATTCTCTGGTCACTGTCTAATTTTAAGTTTAAATCTTTAAGGAAAAATCCAAAAGTAAGTCTCTATCTACTTTACACTTAAAATATAGCAGACACGGGGTTGTGCGTGTACTCAAAGCTCTTACTTGTCTCCTTTACTCCACTTTTCTCCACTAGGAGGTCTGTATGCTCTCAGTCTCTGCATCTCCTCTTTCCAGTGAGGAGGAGTCTCACTGCTGTCATCATCATCTGATTCAGAGCAGGACCTTGACCTTGGAGGTGTGTGATAGCGCTTTAAAAACAAAGACAGGAATCACTATTTTAAAACTGCTCCTCAATTACAGTCTGCTATAGGACAGAGTTAGGTGTAAGACCCAATCTCAGACCCCATTCAAAGTTATATCAAACAATAGCAACTAAAAGAAATAGGAATGGCTGAGATTCACCTAAAATCACACGTGAAAATTTCCTCTTCGAAGTCCTAATGGTTACATTCATTAGCCTGGAGTATTCAGCATACTAAGATTTCTCACTGATTGCTTCACATGTTCATTTCATACCTAAACCCATTCAAACATGGCAGGGAACTCTAACAGCATCACCTTCCCATTGTTATGGAGAACACCTTGAACAGAGTTTGGATTCTCCCTAAAATTAAAGCTAGGATTTTGCCTACAGGTAAAAACATTTTACTGCTTAGATAATTTGAAAAAAGAACTATTAACAAACATACAATTGTGCCCCTTCCTTTAATCTTCCGTCCAGACTTTGACACAGATGGTTTCTGATCACTTACAATGGGTGTAGCATCAGGAATCTTCCTGGATAGGAGAATTAAAAATAAAAATTAGCAAATGTAAACAGTTTTCTCAATGTTTACATGTACAATTTATGCTTCTATAATACAAAAACACTTTATTTAGACCCAGCATTTTTGTAGAATGAGGCACTCCACAAAATCTAATTCTTTAAGCAAACGTTTTAAATGCCAAAACTGGGGGGTGGGGATGGGCTGGGGGTGAGGGGAAAGGGAGTAACCCAACTAGGTAGAAATACATGATACTAGTAGTATCTATTTTTGCCAAGCACAAAATCTTTTTAAGCGCAGTACTATTTTCAAACAAAATCCTCTTTTTGTGTGTGTGTGTGTTAATCCTCAACTGAGGATATTTTCCACTGATTTTAGAGAGAGAAACATCAAGGTGAGAGAGTTACATCGATTGCTTGTCTCACACACACACCCCGACCAGGGCTGGGGATCGAGCCCACAACCAAGGTACGTGTCCTTGACCAGAATCGAACAAGGGACCCTTCAGTCCATGGGCCTACATTCTATCCACTGAGCCAAACCAGCTAGTGCAACAAAATCCTCTTTTAGATGTCTCTTGTCAAAAAGTAATGTTCTAAAGGAATCCTGAGTCATTCTTGATTCTGATGCTTAGTTGTGCTTTTTTAATTCATTTTTAATTTTACTTTATATTTCTTACAGTTCATCTGTCTCCACCGCTCTACTATAAACTCCCTCTTTCAATGCTCTGAAATGGGTGCCTCATCTTATGGGCAATTTTAAGAGTTTGGATTTTGTGGTGACTATAGTTCTGCATGCATAAGAAGTTTTTTCATACCTCACCTTAATATAAAAGCTAGCTTTTACTGAGTACTTACTATGTATCAGGCATTATGTTAATGAGCATTTTTAAATACACTTTTTATTGGGTACAATATACATAACACAGAATTGGCCATTTTAAGCGTACAATTCACTGGCATTAATTATATTCACAATGTTGTGCAACCATCACTATTTTCTTTCTAAAACTTATTCATCACCCCAAACCAAAACTCTCTTCATTAAACTCTAATTCTCCATCACCCCAACTTCTGTTTATTACTCTATTAGATCCAAAGAGTTCAACTCACTTTGCTCTGAAAACCAGTTTCACCTCTAATGAAAAACCAAGGAAATAAGATTAGTAATGAAATCTTTCCAGGCCTCCAACAAGAATTTCTCCCCCGACCAACTTGTCCAGCCCCCTTTTTCTACTACATCACCGTCCCATTGTTAAAGTTCTTTGTAGAATACTGACTTTTAGCATTGTTGTGAAGGTTAAATTGTATTTTGTTCACTTAAAATGAATATAAAAATCGATAAAGGAGCTCCTAGTACAATTGACTGCTTTAACATGGCCTGATGTCCAGTGATCTTTCTTTCAAGTGTTCATTACTCATCTTAAAAGGTAGGGTAAATGTCATTCTTGAATCTGATATCTCCCATAGTTAATTTTCAAGCGCCTTGACTATAGGTCATGCTCCATAAATGAGTGTGGAACGGCAATGAGCTGATGAAAATCATCAATCGGAAATAAAAACACAGGTTAATCATCCTACTTACGGTTCAGGTTCCACTGTGACAAGAGGCATATCTCTTCTCAGTAAGAATCGGTTCTCAGGCACTGGCGGTATCTCTTCTGGGCGGACCACAGGCTTTTCCCTTTTAGCATTTGAATCCACTGACCTTTTCCCATTGTTATCACTTCTCTCAGAGTGACTTAGAGAGAACATACCAAGTCACCAATTAAGATATGTAATGTTTGCATTCCACAGTAATAAAAGCACATAAAATTAGATATTAAATAGCAAAACTACTGATACAAGTCTCACTCGAAAGGTCTATACAGTTTCCTCAAAGAGAACATATAAAAATGTCAACTCAAGTGAAAACCCACAGTACTAAAATTCTGAAAATTGTTAAATGTATCCAAATTTTTTCTTTTAAGAGTTTCAGGGAGCCCTGGACTACGTGGCTCAGCTGGCTGGACGTTGTCCGGAGCACCAAAAGGTTGCAGGTTCTATTCCCGGTCAGGGCACATGCCTGGGTTGTGGGCCCAATCCCGGTTAGGGGGCCTGCAGGAGGCAGCTGATCAATGATCCTCTCTCATCATTGATGTTTCTCTCTCTCTCACTCTCCCTTCCTTTCTCTCTAAAAATCAATAACAATATAGTTTTAAAAAGTTGCAGGGATTGTTTTCACCTGCAAACAAATAAAATGTTTATGCTACCCTATATTTGTCAGACTTCATTTACAGTAAAAAGATGCTCTTTTTTCAACAATAGGTTGCAGAGCTAAGTTACAGAATTATACATGCTTTCCCCATTCCAGGGAGTTTATTTTTTTTTAGGTACGATGATTCTAGGGTTTCACTTACCCTTTTGGACTCACTACATGTTTATTCCTTGGCTCTTCTGAACTACTTGCTTCCTTTCGTCTTTTTTTAGGATGTTTAACTTTTGGCCTCCTCTTATGTTTCCTTCTTCTGCTTCTCTCACGTTCAATTTCACTTTCTGAAGATGATTCTGAAGAGGAAGAGGAATTGGAAGAGGAATCCGAGTCTTCTGAATGAGTTGGTTTCTTCCTTTTTTTCTCAAAAACTTTCAAGAAATATTAACAAAAATATTAGTACTGGATTTCAGTGCCTACCTTTCAGAGTACAAAATGTGATTAGCAAATATTATAAAACATGCTTTATGTATAACAAAATAAAAACAACATTTAAATAAACTTTTTTTCAAGCTGATAATACTGTTTGCTGGTGAGATTGTAAGCAACAAAGCCCTTGCCTTCATGAAATCTATGTTCTAGAGGGGTCAGATAAGAAAGTAAGTAATTGCATAATATGACAAATAATAAGTGAAAAAAAGCAGTATAAAGGGAATAGGGAGTCAGGGGTAATTTAAGATAACATCTGAGCAGAGACTTTAGTAAAGGGAGTGAGGGGGTCAGTCAGGTATCTGAATAGAGTTTTCCAGACAGAGGAGTCAGCAGCACAAAGTCCCTGAGTATTTGGCATGTCTGAGTCGTCAAGGTCAACATGCTGGAAGACAATGAATGAGGGAGAAGAAGTCGGAAACAACAGAGAGCCAGATGCCTTACAGGCCATTATAAAGACTTCAGCTTTGGCTGACTGAGAAGGGAGCCCTAGGAGAAGATCACTCTGGTGGGTCTTAAGGACAGACCGCAGAGCACTGCCACTGAGAAAAGATTATAGAGGAGCAAAGGTAGAGCAAAGTACACTTATGAGGCTATTGCAATAAGCCAGGTAAGAGACACTGGTGGTGTTGACCAGGCTGCAGGGGAAGTAAGAAGAAGAGGTAAGATTTGCTGATGGACTGGATACAGGGTATGATAAAGGGTCTCAGAGCCATGGATATACCACTCATTAAATCCAGGGGGGAGCCAGGAGGTATCTTTAAGTCACAGTCTTCACTGTGAGTTGCCTGTATCCTAGCTCCCATTACCCCTTCGCCCTCGAAATCTTACCATCTTTTGTTGATTTTGTGGCAAGCACCCCACAGTCAATAACTCGCACATCTGCATAAGGTCTGCTTGCAGCATCAGTTTTCAGATTTTCAATTTGTTCAATTACTTCAAAACCGGAAATAACTAGTCCAAAGACAACATGCACCCTGTCACAACACAAATGTAAGAAAGAGTTGGTTTGCTGACAATTAAGTACGAGCAGTAATCATGTCCACAGACCTAAGTATAAAAGCACAGTTTCTGATGCATAAAGGAAATTAGAACCTGAAATCTACTTCATAAAAGAAAAAAAGCAATTACTCAATTTGGGCCTTAGTTTTCTGCCTTTAAAACAATGGTTCTTATTTTATGGTAAATAGTCCTATTTACCATAGCACTTGCTACTCAGAAACCATCCCTACAGGGTCACTTCATGGCTGAGAAGCCCTGGTAAAGACCCCTTCAGGGACATGAAAGCCATGGAGTCTCAAGGTTACTGCATCCTATGATCTTTAAGGAAGTGTCTGGCTGTATAAGATCAAGAGCGGCCCCTTGAGGTTTACCCATGGTCCAATATGCCTGGGACTGGCCACACAGCCCCCACCTCCCCCTGCCCAAAGTAATAAGAAATAACTCTTACCCATCCAGGTGCGGAGCAGGTTTCGTGGTACTGTGGAGCAAACATCACAAAGATGGCAGAAACCAGGTGTTCAGGTGAACAGAGCAGAAGAGTTTAACACAGAGCATGTAGAAAACAAAGAGGTAAAGATAAAAAGACCAGGAAAAAGTTAAATGATATACATGTAACTTAAAACACATATGTAAACCTTAAGAACAGCAATAATAGCATTTTACTGATTAAAAAACTCAAAATTATATCTATTTCTCCAATGTGAAGACTATATATACATATATGCACACACACACACATATTTATGAAATAGGTTTGAAATATACAGCATAGACATTAATATTAAAGTTACTCTAAATTCCAAAAAAAACAAAAAAACAAACTCAAAATGTATTAAGATAATCAAACAAGAATAAAAAGAACTATCATTTGCTCAATGAAAATGAAAGTGTGACCAACACGTGCTCCACACACTTGACGAGCATGAGTTCTGTTCCTATGTCTCATACTGAGTCAGTGTGCATCTTTTAGGCAGGCAGATGGGAGTGAGGCCTCAGGAATTCTGTTTCCAGAACTTTCCACCCCTCTTCCTTCACCTAAGGTGAAGCTCTGCCACCCCTCAGAGCAACTCTGAAAATGCAATAGGAGCAAACCTTCAATCTGCCAACACTTCTGACAGCAAGGTCAACGATGATGGGTAACATTACAGACATTTCAAATTTCCGTGGCCCAGAAAACACTCAACTGGCTTCTTCCAGTCACAGCTGGCAGCTAGTCACTCTTGAGAAGCCTTTGGGGTACATTTGGTTAAAATATTTTGAACCCAAACTGGTTTTCCCATAGCATTTTCACAAATCTTCACCTTGTGAATTGCAGTAGAAAAAAATCAAAAGCAGAAATAACTAGACTCAGATGTATATGCCACAAACATCTTAACTTTTAAGATGAGTAATGAACACTTGAAAGAAAGATCACTGGACATCAGGCCATGTTAAAGCAGTCAATTGTACTAGGAGCTCCTTTATCAATTTTTATATTCATTTTAAGTGAACAAAATACAATTTAACCTTCACAACAATGCTAAAAGTCAGTATTCTACAAAGAACTTTAACACTTATACTTACATTAAGACAATCCAGTTCTGTAAGACCACTTCATAACTTAAGAAAATTAAAATGTCAACCTAAGTAGTTCTAGAATTTTAACGGGGATCTTGAGTTTTAAAACCACTAGTCTCAAATTTTCCTTAGAAGATTGAGAAGTGGTTACTCAAGCTAATGTAATATTAAAAATGAATAAAAACAGGCAGGAGAAAGAAAGAAAAGAAAAAAGAAAGAGAAAAGAAAGAGTAAGTCAGCAAACTGGTGAGGCACTAATGCTTCAATCAATAAACTAGCATCCAGAAACTACCTTGGACAATAACTTTGAGAAAGAAATATGCTTCCCACAATTATCAAACTTTACCAAAGCACATTAAAGATAGGACGAAATCAGTCCATACTCTAGACAGTGATTCCATTGTAGAAAGATGTAAAGAGGTAAGTTCAAAGGTATAAATGTTATGCTGTGTAAAGGCTCCATCTCAAATGTGCAGCAGTGAAACAATGGATGGTTTGTTGGTTAGATTTATTCCTCTTCCTTCCTTGATCCCTTCTCTCACAATTCTCAATCTTCTGGTACAGAGGAAAACCTACAGATTTTTCCAAAACACACAGAACCCAGTTCAATTCGCCACCTTGGCTAATAGGAATGCTGTAATATGGCAAACCTTTGCAAATGGTAAGATATAAACATTCTAGCTAACTGCATTGATGTAGCAACATACTACTATCCTCAGAGACTCGATCTGAGGATAGAATAGCTACCTTTCTGTAAATTCAAGTTGAGTTTTTAATTCAAATGAAAGCTGAAGACAAATGAACTTGGTCCTTCACTGCAGTAGTGAAGGAAACAAATGAAGACAGGAACAATTCATTCAAGGACAAATTTCAGCTGGTCCACAGTGCCCAATCTGGTGTAATTCCGTCCGTTTACTTACGTCTGCAACTCAAGATGCAGCAATACAAGTTTATGCCCTAACTGGGTTAGACTACATATTAAGAATACTGAAACAATCTTAATGAAAGGAAGCCCTCTGGGGTTCTCAGCCTCAATTCCAGTAGAAATCCCAATGTCAGGCAGACTTACTGGCACTGGGCTGACACTTAAACATGGATAAACAGAGGATGCTGCCAAAGGGGTTACAAAAGGACAGGGGGAAGTGATACGCTCAGTCCAAGCTATTCAATTCTATTACAATGGACAAAGCCATCTCATCCCACCAACTCTTAACTGTTTGACCTTTCAAAACGATCCAGTTGTAAAGTCCCTTGCAGTGATGACATACGCTCAGTAAGTTAAGACCTTAAGAAGGCCACAGACTATCATTTGTTCATGCTTATGAAAACATATCTAGAGGAGAACAACCACACAGAACATTTCAAATGACAAAAGATTTCAATATTTTCAGATTTTCATTTTCTTCTGTCACTTAGACACTAATTGTCCAGGTTTCCCTAACTCTTCAATCTACTTAAAAAATGCAGGGGTGAGCAAGAGTAGGTTAATAATATTACATAAATAATACAAAAATCAATCAGTAAATATTACAAGAATAAACTGTGTTTCATGTACTCACAACTGTAAACCTACTTTTGTCTACCCCTGTATATGTACCAGGGTTCACTTAAACCTTGTAAATCCTAGAAATTGAAAAGTGTCACTATTACGCCAACAATCTATTTTTACGCCATTACCAAAGAAGCTTTTGGCCTTATACAAAAATTAATAGTTCTGTACTAAAATGAAATCTAAAACCATTATATACAATATAACACCCCCAACCCTAAAGATATGTGGAAACTTGGTAGACATAAGCCACTGAAATTAAAACATGCTTCCCAGGGTCAACCATGAACAATAAAACACACTTGTTTTAAGGTATTGCTGCCATACAGATCAAGCAGAGTTTTTCCCCCGTAAAATTGTTCAATACACATAACAATAGGATTAAAGAGATAGAGGCAAAGAGAGAGAGAAAGAGAGAGAGAGAGAGAGAGCCTTAGAGTAATGAGACATTACCTTTGGAGCGCACGGTGTAACACTCTTTCTGTAAATTTTACACAAAAATGGCAAGAAATAAATTGTAATACACTTTTAAGACAAGACTGAATCTATGTTTTAATATTAATATAACTTTGAAATTAAATATTTTCAAGTTTTATGCAAAGCAAGAAAGCTTCTTAAAATGGAGGGCTCTAAATTTTCTTTCACATAGCTATGTATGTAGAGGTGAATCATATTTGAGAAAAGCATTGTGGTCGAAGTTGAAATTTGCTCAGAGTGTTAATACACTATTAACAAAGCATTACATTTCACTCACAAATCCTAGAAACTAGCTAAGTCAACTAACATCTTTCTCAAAAAGAGAATAATGTATGCTGAGTACATACAAAAACATAAATCTTTAATGCCCAGGAGCCATTATACCAGTGGAAAGCAAAGATTTAAATGGGGAAAAAAAAGCTGAGTTAAGAGAATTCAAAACCAACATTTCAGGAAACTTTTTTACTAATTCACTTCAAATAGTTCAAGAATGTTTTGTGCTCCCACATTTGAAACCATTTTTCAATCACACATCACAACAGATCACTATCAGAAATGAACAAGCAAATTTTGGACTGTAGCTACTGTTCACGGACATATACACAATGTAGCTGTTAAGTCACTGAAAATAATAATATAATAAAGCATCATAACTAGAATTTTAAACATCTTCTCAAAAGAAAAAAAGGCAAAATAGATGAATGTGTGAGAGTGTGCTGTCAAATCTTGGCCACATGACAGGACTTTATAGTCCTAATTCTGATTTTCCCTATTATGTACTTTTTTCAAAGAATATATACCGTCTGATCAACTTTAATGCTACTGAACTCTAAACATAGCTATTACTACTCAGACCGAAATCTTATTATATATAGTAGACAAAATTCTTTATAGTTTTTTAGAACATATCAAATATTAAAATACTTAAAAACAAGCTATAATTTCTTCTAAAGGCACTGATACATGGATTACTGTCAAAAAAGAATATGTTTCAAATAATGTGAAGTTTTCAGTGAATGTAGAAAAATATGACTCTAGGTGTAAAATAGTATGTGAGAAGAAAACAAAGATAGCATATTTCTGTCTAATGCAGTCTTTAATTTCAATTTTCTCCTTCCAACTCCTGAAACCATCACACCATCATGGAGGAGGCACCAACAAATTATACAGAGCGACATAGCCTTGTGAGGGCAACAGAAACTAACCAAGCCACATTATGGGGTCCTACACATATGTTCCAAAAGTCACTAAAATAGAAGAGCTTTAAAAAATTCAGTGCTATTGTTAACATAATACCCACCAATGCATACATCACATAAATACTAAGTAATACTAAAACTGAATTTTAGGGATGACACTTGATACTTAGATAACTTGGCTTATGGTTAAGTTTTATAAGCATCTTTGTTATGAAAAATCCTAAACATAACATATGAAGATATTACCCAAAAAATGGAAGAAAAAAGCTAGAACTTCTCAGGTTATTAACACTTACTAGCATTTCTTCTCATCCATATTCATGAATAGTGGAGGAAAAAGAATTTCTACCCAAATACACCTTTGCTACCCCAAATGTCAACAGAGCTTTATAAACCCCGTAAACCCAAACCACCCCACTCCCTTTGCTGTGGAATGATCAGCACCTGTCCCTTTCAGGTGAGTAGCCACTGGCAAGTCAAGATTCTTAAATGACAGAGCACATCCTAGAACTTCTGTTTTCCTCCCTATAATCCTACTTATAACTGTTAAAATATAACAAAAACTCATTGTTTAAAGTCAAGTTTGACTTTTCTGCATTATTTTGTTTTCACACCTTTTTATAATTACCATGACCACTGACAGAGATGTCTGCAAAATTCTGAAAATCTTTCTACCCGACGATTGTGACAAAAGGCACAAGCCCAGGCTTTAACAGCAGCGGATGGAGAGATTGCTGCTGCTGCTGCTGCTCCTGACTGAGGCTCGATGAGCCCAAAGCTTCTTTGCAGCACCTTTTAGACTGATGAAAACTAGGCAAAGACACCGATTTCCTTTAGGCAAGACAATGTTTGCATAAAAATCATTTCACATATTCAGAAACTTAGGATCAACCCACAAAACTGTCTTCTTTTTATGTGCACATGTTCGCACTAAAAGATTTACTTTATCTTTGAAAGTGGGGTAGGAACTTTATAACGTGCCATTTTATTTCCCAGGAATGCTTGATCTTCTAATACCTAACCAAAACAAATTCAGAGCAGAGTGGTCAATAAATTTCATAGCTTACAATGTGCAGGATTCTCTTTCTAGCTATCAACTTTCTATAGATTATGAATGAAATTGTTATAACCTAGCTTTTCTTCCTTAGCTAGCATTATCTATAGAACGAAAAGGATGAACTAGATCTCTAAATTCTTTTCCACCAAGTCTTTGTAATTCTATAGCTTTTATTGTGGTGCTTCCTAGTCTTTGGCTTAAAACATAAATAATAATAAAAAGGACAAAATGATTAAATACTGAATTAACTTGGCTACAAATTTTGTCCCTGTTCTTTGAATTCCTTCAAAAATACCTCAACATGAACCATTATCTCCTCAGTGATTCGTGGGGACACCACCATACATCACTTCTCTCATGTTTCCTGAGCAGTACAATTCCAAAAGAATCAGTTTTCTTCTATTTAAGTCCCTAAACCAAAATCATGATAACTAATACAGTAGCAGATATAAGCAATTATTGCAAAAATTACAAATAGCTTGATAGAAGAAAGCCTGATTTCTATCATATATGTAATTGTTCTACTCAAAGAAAGCAATATATGCAAAATTATATGTAATGAAAATGCTGTATGCATAGGAAGGGGAAGTTTTAAATGTGTAAGTAATGAAGACAACAGTTATTGCATGAAGCACAAAAATTCTTGAGGAACATTTTGAAAATACCCACACTAATAGCATTAAATGTACTCTTTAGGAATTGCAAAGTTAACAGATTTAGAACATAAACTACAAATACATTTTTTGCAAGGATATATCAAAAGTCCTTATTAAGTTTATAAAACAGGAACTATAAAGACAGTTCTTGGCATTTTTACCACCCATTCTTACACTATCCTTTTTTTTTAAATTGCAGAACTACTGCTCAAGGTGCCACAGAAAGAGTTGTGGTAAGAAGGTAAAAGGCAGAGGAGCCATCAGATGGCTCTGTGACCATCAACCCCCGAAACCTCAACTTTGAGAGCTTTATCTGTGATCACATACACAAGTTGAAGACAGTACATTATACGTTTTTACTATTGCTGACTCCAAAAGGATTTAGGCTTGCAAAACATGAATTTTCAAAGATTATTCTTTTATGGAAAAAACCATCACCATTTTACTGTCCTTTCTAAAAAAGCAAGGAGATGTTTTGTTTAGAAATGTGAATGGTTTGATTTTTACATTGCAGCCCATAAGGAACTGGTGCTTTTAGCCAGCATTCTAGAAGCACATTCATAAAAACTTCTTTTAAAAAAGAGAGATTAGAATTTTTTTGAGTGTGCAAAAACACTGTTACTTTCAAGATTGCTTTTAACTGAAAACGCATCTCCAGAATTAAATTTCAAACTAAAAGTAGAAAATTTTCTTTCAATCACAGCTCACAGTAATTTTAATGCCATCTACAGTTCATTATCAAAACAAGTTTAAAATCTGTAAACTCAATTTACTAAAGTTAAAATTTTCATTTGGCATTACTTGTTAAAAGTAGTAGTCTGATGTGAAATTAAGCAATGGCTTTAATTTTGTTTTGATACTCAACATTTCTAGGAAAGACTTAAGCAAGTACTAGATAACAGAGAAACAAGACACTCTAATTTTTCTGACTGGAGAATCTCATATATTGGATTTTAATTAATGTATGTACATGCACTGATTTTAACTCTTAACCTTTTATAAATGAGCTAAGCGGTAAGTAACAATGGGAAGAAGCAGCTGCTACTTATTAAATCAAATTTTACATGTGCTGATATCAAAAAAGGAAATCTAAAAGAAACTTTAGAGCCCTCAGATGGTAGCTTCTTGACCAATGAATGGTTTATCATGTTCAGTTCAGATAAGCTTAAAAATGGAAATGGGAAACTCAATCAGAGTTAAGAGCTTCTATATATTTAATTACCAAATAAAAAGTTTTTCAAAATATTTCCCACTACCTTTTTTTGACCCTGAAGAAGGTTAAGAATAGAAAGATACTCTATAAAGAAGTGTAATAACGAATACTCTCTGGCATCAAAACGAGATACAGGAACAACTGCTTAAGGTCTTCCTTTTTCCTGTACAAATCCAAGTATTATAGCTTCTCTCAGCTTTCCATTTTTAGAACATTCTTAGGAACAGAATGCCCCTTATCTGAACTTTATCAGATCATGGTGGAAATCTATTTTTTCAGACAAATTTAAAATGTGAAATTTAAATTCCTTTAAATATAAATTACTTTAAAGACAGGGAAGCGCCATTCATATTCATTCATTCATTCAGAAAGATGAGCCCCCCAAACAAAAAACTTTTTCTGATAAGAGATAAATAGTTCTCCAATATGAGTAGCACAACTATAGAGATTTACTTCCAATCTAAAGCATTAGACTTCATGCTAGACAATTATCTTTCATATTTTATATCATAGGATTATAATAAAAATAGGTTTTGGAGGAGCTGTAGTTAAGAACATAATTAAGAGTATGCTAAAGGTCTTTTAGATGAAAAATAAGTAGTAAGATTTCAGTTGTGCATGCACGTATACATAAAGGTGTTTGTATTTTAAAAAGCAAATTTAGCATGCTGAAGTTTCCTGAGTGATAATCTCATAAATTCTGGTGGAAATGACAACAGCATTAGGTTAACTGCATAGAGATCTCATAGGTTTGAGGTTTTTAAAATATAATATCAGAAAATAATGGTATCTCTCTCAAATTGGCTCAAAGAGCAGTAAGAGAAAAAGCAACTATATGATGGTTTATTCAAACCAACTGCTTTCCATGCCAAAGGTACATCTAATCCTAGTCAATGAACAATTTTTAAATGGCCATCAATAATTGATGTTCCAGTCTAGCTTTGGTAAACTGAGCCTCCAAATTAGTTAAGAGTCAAAGCCAATTTCTTTTCGTAAGATGATAATGTATTTTGAAGATAATGTACATGTTCAAGGTATGACCTTTAAGTACAATTCTTCAAATCCAGGATATCTGCTGAACACAGAAGTGGTTGCTAGAGCTTACCAGTTACTATACCATCAGAAGTTAAAAATAAAAACCCAACTCACAGAATTCTAGCATTAAACTTGGTTTAACTATACCATCTTTCTCATGAACAGCGCTTCTCTGTTTAAGAAAAGCCCATCTCTGAATTATGCCTACTCACATGAAAAACTGGGAACCATTGGTATGTTTCCCTCGATTAGCCATTGACAAAAGGAACGCTCTGTCATGTTTGAGAATAAAGTTTTCATCTGTTTGAAGAAAACACAAATTCGTCAGTCTCCAGTATAAGCCACTTTTAAAGTGTAATGTTCACAGAAATAAATAGAAAGCAAAGGATGAAATTCCTCTTCTGGTCAGTACAGATACTTGACTGAATATTTAGAAAAAAAGTTTCAACTAACCAAATAACAAAAGCATAAAAAGACCAAAAAATACTACTTAAAGCCGTGAGAAAAAGAACATATATTTAATACTTTATATAAACAGCCTTAGAACAGTCACTTTTAATAGTAACATACTTTGGCTAAATAACATTTAAACTATAACTTTCAGGGAAAACTAATAAAGAAATTTTAGAAAAAAAAATCTCTATTTAGTAAAGCTCATTTCCTCCAAATTGTCTTGCCTAATGTACATGAGAGCTTAATAATCTTCTTATGTGCTTAATTTCTATATGGTAAATTTAGCACTCAAATGAGCTGAAGCTAGACTGTGAGAGCAGAAACCAAAAAATTACATACATTAAGTTGTAGAGACATGCCTAAATCAAATTAAGTATGAGGATTCCTTCCCATCAATAGGACCACAAAATTATCTAAGGAAGAAAGTCCTGTAAAAACAACTTAAATGGCAAAATACAATTTTCAGATACACAAGTATTTGCCACAGGGAACGACCACATGAAAGTGGCCTACCAGCATCAGTCTCAAAGCTACAGGCTAAGAGGACCAGCCACAGAGCTGTTTCTTAATAGTTCAAAGGAAATACTCTGTCAGAAAAATCACTTAGAGATTATTTTAATTCCAGCAGAAATATCTTGAGAATTTAAATTTCCTTTTAACATTCATACAAACAAATCTTTCTTTAGAACAAACAGAAACATAGAAAACTTTAAAAAATGATTACCTTGGGAACAGGCTTCTGAAAAAGAGTAGTAATCCATTTTCCCCAAAAGAAATATAAAAGACTATTATAACACTGGCGCTATCACGGCATTAACACCTAGTAATATCGGATCCCATTATAAATCTCTGCAACTGACTTTTCTAAGGCTTTCAGGGCAAGTGCAATAGTTAGATTTATGCAAATGCTACTGCTGTAGGAATAATACACAGTCATATAGTTCTAGTAGACAAAAGAAAATATACAAACCTTGGACAAAGAAAGAAATACCAACTTTTGTTCAAAGAAATTGCTTGGTTTAGGGGGAAAAAAGACACAACTAGGTTCTTTGCCCTGATGTGGAAGTAATAACCCATCAGGGAAAGAAAAAAGATACAGATGTATGAAGTAGTATACACAACTTTCCAAGTCTTCAAGCAATACTGAAATGCAGCCACAACCTGACCCAGACTGTCCATAAACTTATTAGGAAGGGTGCAAGGGAACAGAATTGGAGTTTGTGTTACTGCGCTTCGTTCTCTTACCTTTTCATTTTGCAAAAGACCACATTCTCTATAAACAAAAGAATATGTTGACAGTTTTAGGCAGGAAGATAGGAGTTTTCATGTATATAGTTGCCTAACCTCCATGCTGAAGTCATGTTTAACCATAACGTTAGCCTTAATTAATCTTGCCAATTAAAAGTTACATATTACAATACACTTTATCCCCAAGTTCATGCAAATAAAGTATTTTCATGCAGCATTAGTTTCATGCAAAAAGTGAACTAAGAATAAACCTCTTCTCATTAAAAGTACATGATCAAACTTGCTTTAATATCAGAACTGAAACAAGAGACCATAAAATATTAAGGCTTACCTTTAAAATAGCCACCATAAATTGATTCTCCACCTTTTCCATTACCTGCAAATAACAAGCTACATTAAACTACACTGACAATGTAAAATATACTCACACATATAAATTACTTTTTATGGTTTCAATTTGCTGAAGGAGATACCACCTTGTAATTATTGCAAATAATCAAAATTCTAACAAATCTCATCTTTAAAATATAAGTGTAATCCTATTACAATAAATACTATTAAAAGAATTATCTCCACAACCCATTTATTTCAAACAGTAATCATACCAATAAAATTCTAGAATAAATACAACTGAACAGTACGTAAGCATTTATCATAAGGTAATTCACCAAGTAATTATATTATTAAAATTGCATAAAAACAAAATGTCTTAGCGTTCTGCTTTTTCACACATTCTTGGTCTACAACATTCCTTCACCCAACAACTATTCACGGATCACCTAATATTTACATTATACTGTATGTGACAATATTTACAATTAGATACAATGATTAATAATGATTACTTTAGAAACTGATAGACAAAGTTATTAGGGACATAACTTTTAGCTCTACCTTCACTGAAGTCCCCACCCTGAATCATAAAGTTTTTAACCACACGATGGAATGTAGAACCTTTATAACATAATTTCTTCCCAGTTGTTTTCCCAAGGCCTTTCTCCCCTGGAAAAAAGAAAAAAAAAAAAAGAAGTTTAGCTACAAAAACATCCTTCCATGAACAGTGCCATCCATTAAACCCTCTGTCAAATCCCTCTTGTGTGCTGGGCATAAAAGATACAAGGGGTTCAGTGTGACAACTTCACACACACACACAAACCAAAATAAATTTACAAAGCAGCATATAAATGTTAAACTGTGTGGTAATCAGGGAGTTGGTATAAAGATTGTGTATACGTGTGGGTATACCCAAGTATGGATTTTAAAAATAGATATAATTTGCTGTTTCTATTTTTAAGGTAACATTATAGATGCTTTCCTTCCCATTTTTCTACGTTTAAAAATTATCAGCCCTGGCAAGGTAGCTCATTTAGTTAGAGCATCATCCCAACATGCCAAGGTTTCTGGTTCGATCTCCAGTCAGGGCACATATAGGAATTAACCAATGAATGCATGGATGGGTGGAGCAACAAATCAATGTCTCTCTCTCAAATCAATCAATAAATTTTAAAAATATCAATCCAATTTTATATAACAAGGAATAACTTAAATATATTTTGCCCCTCGCCGAGGCCGGTTTGGCTCAGTGGATGGAGCGTCGGCCTGCGGACTGGGGGGTCCCGGGTTCGATTCCGGTCAAGGGCATGTGCGTTGGTTGCGAGCACATCCCCAGTGGGAGGTGTGCAGGAGGCGGCTGGTCGGTGTTTCTCTCTCATCGATGTTTCTGGCTCTCTGTCCCTCTCCCTTCCTCTCTGTGGAAAATCAATGAAGTATATTTAAAAAAAATACTTAAATATATTTTGCCCCTCTACCTTCTAATCCTAAATTTCTTGTGAAATCTGGAGTGCTAAATTTGCTCAGAGTACTGAAACTTCTAAAATTCTACCAAATCAGTTTTGAAATGCTATTATTTTATAAACTACCTTGTATAGAGATTTCATTACACACAATAGTACTCTATTTTTCATTTTTAAGACCATTTATTCTCTCTTCCCTTGAAAAAATGCTTCCATGATTTCATATTAGTGAAAATAATATTTTTATTTGCTAAACTAATTTCACAGCCCATTACTTTTTAAGAAATATGTCTACTCTGTTCAGCAAGGAAAAACTGTAAGCCATGACTTCTCATTAGAATAAATTAATGATTCATTTACCTGAGCAGAGGCAAAGGAAGTTTTTGCATGTTTTTGGACATATGTCTGAGAAGAGCTGAAACATAATGCGACCAACTGAAATAAAACACATAAGAAAAAAGGTAAGCAAGTTGATTACAATATACCACATTTTATATGGGAGGAATAAAACAGATACATAAAACTGACAAACTGGAAAGTCTATTTTAGTAATTCACTTTAATTTTTAAAATTAACAGGTACTATCAACACATTTTATATTTGGCTACAGACAAGAAAAAGCCAAGACAAACCTATGTCATGTTGTAATCCCGATGTGACCACTAGGTGGCAGGAATAAAATCAACAAGTACCCAGAATCTGAATGAAAGCAAACATCATCTTTCAATAATATTATTGTTCCTATTTCTTAGAAACAGCTGTGCTGGAATTGCAGATACAATGGTGAGAAAGAAGACATACATTATGGACATCAAAGGTATGGTAGTTATAAAAATAAGCACTGATTGGAAAAAATATTATAGATGATACACTACAAAAGGCAAATATCACATATACAATTACAAGGGATAAGGATAAGAACAAAGGAACAGATCATATTGGGTAGGCAGAGAGTAAAATCTAAGAAGACATTAAGCAAATAAGCATTTCAACAAAATCAGGCCATTTACTCAAACATTATTTACTAACTAGAAGCCCGGTGCACGAAATTCTTGGGGAGGTGGGGGGGGGTCCCTCAACCCAGCCTGCGTGCTCTCGCAGTCCGGGAGCCCTTTGGGGGATGTTCAACTGATGGCTTAGACCCGCTCCCCATGGTCAATGCGCATCATAGTGACCGGTAGTTCTGCCATTCGGTCGATTTGCTATACAATGTGCTGAGCCATCAGTGGTATGAACAAAGTACACTTGTATCCACCCACCCTAGGCCTGGGCGTGTGAGGGCAAAAAAACCCCATGTCTGTTTTACTCACCTCTGTCCCCACTGATTTTGTACAGTGCAGTGATAATAATGACAACAAAACCCTTGAAACAAAATTATTCAATGGTAGAGAATAAGATATAAATGAAGGACTGCCTAAATATACAGATCAAAAGTATTCACTATGTACCAGCAAAAGTTATTATACGTGAAACACCATCAAGACATAGTTTAATAAAACCTTTCTTTTCAGAGATATAAGTCTTCTAGAATCCAGGCAGTAGAATTATGTTACTTACAAAGAAAAAGCAACCACAGTATAAATAAAACCAACAAGAGAGGGTTAAGTTGGTAAGAGAAGGGACATTTCTTCATATTGACTTTGCTAAAGTAGATAAAAGAGGAAATATGGGTTTAGGAAAACTTAAACATGTAATCACCTGTAGAATTAAAAACATACGAACTGTCTTTCAAATTACTGTGGTAGAATAACTCATGTAAAAGGAAGTAGTAAGATAACATAAATAAGATATAAGCTAAGGTAAGAAAAGACCAAAACAGCTCTATAATTATTTAGGCACCTAAAACTTTTTCATAACATGTCATTCAACACCCAAGTAAAGGTATCCTGAAGATAGTACAATTAAAAACTCAAAAGAGAATGTATTTATTGGCTCATGTAGTAGCTGACAAGGATATTGGCACAGATCAGAGAAGTGAAGAACTGTAAGAACCAGGATGTTGGGGAATGGGGCCAGATCTTGGAGCTGCCAACTCTCACAAGGCAAAAGATATTGAATACCATCACTTTCTTTGTCCCAATGCATACAGTCCTAAATATTTCCATTAATGCATAAGACCAAAGGTAAATTAATCACTCAACTCAGGAAGAAAAAAAGCAATAAACCTAAGAAAAACATAAACAAGGTTTTAATGAAAGTACAAGCAGAAATCAATGAAGTAAGAAACTGAAATACATCAGACTTGATAAATAAATCCCAAAGCTGGTTTGCTGCAGTTTTGTGATGAAAATGCCAGGGTCTTTTTTTGTCAATTAGTTTTATTTTCAATTACAGTTTACATTCAATATTATTTTATATTAGTTTCAGATATACAGCATAGTGTTTAGAAAATTACACGTTTTACTAAGTGTACCCCCAGATATTTCCAGTACCCACCTGGCACCATACATCGTTGTTATAGTATTATTGACAATATTCCCTATGCTGTACTTTACATCCCCATGACTATTTGTAACTACCAATCTGTACTTCTAAATCCTTTCTATTTTTTTGACCCCAAAATGTCAGGGTCTTTGCATTAACTATGTTACCTAAAAAGATTCCTTCGTGTAGCATAATTTAGGTACATAACTTTGCCTTTCCCCTTTCATATTAGGTTTTCAATCTGTGCACAGAAAATCTACCCTTCAAAGCGTCTCTACTCACACATTACTAATTAAGAATCAGGCATCAGCTCTGGCTGGTTTGGCTCAGTGGTTAGAGGGCCAGCCTATGGACCGAAGGGTCACAGGTTCGATTCCTAGTTAAGGGCATGAGCTTCAGTTGCAGGCTCGATCCCTGTCAGGATGCAAATGGGAGGCAACCAATCAACGTGTCCCTCTCACACTGATATTTCTCTTCCCTCGCCCTTCCCTCTCCACTCTCTCAAAAAGTCAGTGGAAAAAATATCCTCAGGTGAGGCTAAACTAGAAAATCATTAATAAAGACAACTGCAAAATATTCAAGTACTTGGAAATTAAAACACTTCTAAATCAAATAAAGTATTGTGCATTGAAATAAAATGAGCAATATATCAAAATCTGTGGGGTGTACAAAATAGCTGGGGTCCAGAGGGAAATTTATAGCATTAAATGCCTACACTAGAATATAAAGGTCTCAAGTCAACAATCCAAGTTTCCACTTTAAGTAGCTAGAAATAGAGCAAAATAAAGTCAAAGCAAGCAGTAGAAAGGAATAGAGTAGAAATCAATGAAATTGAAAACAGAAAAAAAAGGGGTGGGGTGGGGAAATCAATGAAATCAAATCTGGTCCTTTAAAATGATAATAAAGTTGATAAACCTCTAGCCAAATGAAACAAGGAAAAAGACAAAAGGCACAAATTATCAATATCAGGAATGAAGGAGGATATATCACTACAGATCCCACAGACATTCAATTAAGGGACTATGTCAAACAACTCTATGCCCACAAAGATAAAATGGACAAACTTCTTAAAAGACACAAACTACTAAAACTCACTCAAGAATAACATGAAAAGTTCCTTAACTATTAAAGAAATGAAAATCTTAGTTTAAAACCTTATGAAAAACATTTCTAAGGAACAATACTAGAATTATTTCAAATAGGAACCACCTTATTGGATTCACAGAGAAAAACGCATGTAAAAAGCCTTTTCCTCTCACTGGATGGGAGTGACTCTGGTTGAGTGACAACCCATGAACCAGGAGGTCACAATTCCATTCCCAGTTAGGGTACATGCGGGGTTCTGGGCTCAATCCCCAGTGGGGGGCGTGCGGGAGGCACCCAACCAATGATTCTCTCTCATCATTGACGTATTTATCTCTCTCTCCCTCTCCCTTCCTCTCTGAAATCAATAAAATTATATATTTAAAGACTTTTATAAAAAGTCTTTATAAAAAAATATATAAAAAGACTTTTATAAAAAAATATATATTTAAAGACTGTATATAAAAAGACTTTTCCTCTTTTGATATACACTTGCATTCACCTGGTGGCTTTTTGATTTAAAATTCTAATTTGATTGCTATAAAATATATACTTTTCCAATGATAGCAATGAAAAAGCATACTGTGCAGTATTAAACTCAATTTTTATTGGCAATCCACCTCCCTCTCCCAATCCTTCACTCTCTTTCTCTTTCTCTCTTTCCCCTTTTTCCTCTCTCTCTCCTTACCCCTCTAATAAAAATGAAACTTTTATCAATACTTCTTGATCTCATTAAAGTGAACACTATGGCCACTCTTCAAGGATCTTTGCTTAAAGTCCATCAAAGATATTACTTTGCACTTCTATCAAGTGAATTATTAACTATACAAGAAGTCAAGAGTTTTACTTGAATAAGTACTCAGAGACAAATACAATATACTAATGGTTAAATCCCACAAAGCAGAATCCATCAAACTGAAGTGATCCTTAAAAGCTGTGCTAAAATCAAGTACCTACTATTTATATAGACAATTTACTGAGTTGAAAGTGCTAGATAAGGATTACGTGAGATTGGACCAGATGAAACTGCAGATTACCTATGATTTCAACCTAGAACAATGTAAGCATTCCCTGTTTCATATATAATTCAGTCTTCTCAAGGGTGCTACTCACTTCTCCCAGGATGGTGGTATAATGAATTACCTTGGATGTTGGAGACTGAAGTTCATCCAACATTTACCAAACATATTCCAGACATTTTTCACCACAAAGGTTATTTACAAATCTAGGATATAAACATGTACCGGGAAAGGGGTACTTTACATGACTACAGAACCTTTATTTCTACTTTTCAGGAGTGTTCTATTTTTAATTCTTTATAAAAACGTTAAGTTCTACTATCTGACGCTTTGATTCACTATAGAATGAGGATTAAGATCCATCAAGGCTCAAAAGCTAGTAGGAGAGAATATAACAACATGTCCAAGATAACATCATTCCTTTGCTCAAATCCCTTCAATAAGTTCTTATCTGACGGAGTCAAAGTCCTTACGATGGCCTATCGCCATTTCCTGCTACTCTCTGTCCTCCCCGAACTTCTCCAGGTCCCTTAAACACGCAAGTACTTAAAATCCCCTCCTCAGGACCTTTGCATTAAACTGTCCCTCCACCAGGAATGTTCTTCTCCGAGATGCCATCTCCTCCAGATGTCTGCTTAGTTGTCATCTCCTCAAAATGGCCTTTTCGGACCAACTTATTCAAACAGGACCCCTACTGTACAAGTCCCTCAATTTTTTTTTTCTCCTGCTTTATTGTCTGTCTTCCCCCAACAGGCTAAAAACTACAAGGAAGAGAGGCCTTTGTTTTATTCACCGCTAGATCCCCACAGTCTAGAACAGTAGGAGGCTCTCAAGAATCTACTGAACAAGAAAGAGGGCGCACAAAGCCTGCATCTATGCCTGCCATTAAAAGTTGTTACAGATAAAAAAAAAAAAAAAAAAAAAAAAGCCAAGAAAACAAGCTTGAAACACTGCTCGCTCTGCTGCTACTCAGAATGAAACGACCACCCGTTAGATAGAAGAAAATACTTTATTTTCAACAAAATACGCAGACAAAACATGAATGCGTGCAGCCAGTCTGCTGGTACAGAATGCTTGGGTTTAACCAGAGGACTTCCCCAGGCCGTTTCCCCAGGAACCACAGATTCTGGCTAAAGATACTTTAAGGAATAACAGAGCCCGGCTAACCTATTCATGGCTTTCAAGTATTGGGAAATACAACATGTAGGAGTCCAGACACCACCGCTCACAGCAAGGTAACTGAAATCGGAACTGGAGGTGTTTGCCACCTAGGAACAGATAAAAGGTCCCAAAAGGAGTGCACCCCTTTTCTTGGCGCCAGGCATAAACACTCAGTCTGGGGGTGCAAAGGGGCATGGAGTTTGGGAAGGGGGGGCGAGGCCTGGACTCCGAGGAGTGGGAGTGGTGTACCGGAGCCACCCTCCCCCCCAGATTCTGGCTCAGGAGAAACGGAATGTGGACCGCCTACCCGCTCCCAAAAAGGCTCGGGGAGAGTCGACGAGGGTAGACCCCTCCCCTTCCCCGAGATAAGCCCGGGCCCCAGCAGGGCTCCCCCGTGTCCGGCTCACCCGGCTCCCGGTTGATCTCGATGTCAAAGTGGCACTGCGGCCGGTCCTGCGCCCCCATCGCTACCGAGGCGGCGGAAAGAGCTGGGAGAGAGAGGGGGGGGAAAGCGGTCAGGTCCCGACAGGTCGGGAGCCGGGGCGGGGGCGGAGCCCGAGCCTCGGTCGCCCCGCACCAGCCTGTCGCGACCGTGCGAGAGGGTGAGACGGCGCCCCCTCCCGTCCCAGGCCTCCTGGCTCCCACAAGGCACGCACACTCAAGCGGGCAAGCTCTTCACCTGGCTGGCCTCCAGCCTGAGCAGCTCCCCGTGCACAGAGGAGAAAGCGCGGTTACAGCGGCCGAAACCCAACGCCGATAACGGACCGCCACCCCCTTCCCCCAGCCCGGCCTCCCAGTGCCACGCTAAACCCCGCGAGAGTCTGGACAAATACCGCGAGAGCGCAGGCTCGGAGAGGGTCTTGACCGGAAAGGAGCACACGTGGGCGTGTCCGGGAGCTCTGGAGAAGCCTCCGGTCCGGCGCTCCTATTACTGAGCTGGTCCTTTTTTTTGTCCCGCCCCTTTTCTCTACTGGAATCAGTCGCCCAATCTGGGAGCCCTGGACACGCCTGCGCTCTCACTTCCTCTGGTTCCTTGTCGAGAGCTGGGAGCTTCCGTGCATCACCGGATATCGCGAGGTTTTGCTGTTGACAGCTTCGAGCCAGTTGTGTGAATTAAGTCCTTGAGGTTTAAGCCCACGGAGCTTTTATAGCCTGTTTTCTTTTTTGCATCATATCCTCTGTAATACACAATGCAGCCTCGAGCAGGGATCCCTGCTCCAACCTCGCCCGAAAGTAACTTTTACATTTTTATAACTTAGGGAAGGGAGAAAAGAGGTGAAGGAAAAGAGAGAAAAGGAATCCCGTGAGAAGGTACAGACACAATTCTACCTTGTTTGCTCGTACTATTTAAAAAATTTTTTTAAAATATATTTTATTGATTTTTTTACAGAGAGGAAGGGAAAGAGATAGTTAGAAACATCGATGAGAGAGAAACATCGATCAGCTGCCTCCTGCACATCTCCTTCTGGGGATGTGCCCGCAACCCAGGTACATGCCCTTGCCCGGAATCGAACCTGGGACCTTTCAGTCCACAGACCGACGCTCTATCCACTGAGCCAAACCGGTTTCGGCTTAAAATTTTTTAAAAATATATTTTTACTCGTTTCAGGGAGGAAGAGAGAGAGAAACATCAATGATGAGAATCATTAATCTGCTGCCTCCTGCACGCCCCACACTGGAGGGTGGAGCCATGTCCTAACTGGGAATCGAACCATCAACCTCTTGGTTCATGGGAATGATGCTCAATCCACTGAGCCACAACAACAGGGCAAGGCTGCTGTCTTTCTTTTTCTTTATTTTAAATATATTTTTGTTGATTTCAGAGAGGAAGAGAGAGATAGAAACATCAATGATGAGAAAGAATCACTGATCAGCTAAGGCTACTGTCTTTAGAAAGACCTGCTTACAAGGTTGGCCTTTGAGTGGAATCTGGGAACTTCAATGGTAATCAATTTCCTAAAATTATAGAAAGTGTTCATTATATGATAAGAGTGCCTCACTATGCCTAAGCTATTTGTGTAAACACTATGATTTTTGCTGAACACCTGCTTTCCTTTGGGGAATCTGGAATTTAGGTATGTGTTAGGCAGAAGATGCATATGTGACTAGCCTCTAATAAAGTATTTTGGGTAATGCCCCACTGGTGTGGCTCAGTGGCTGAGGGTTGACCTATGAACCAGGAGGTCAGGGTTCAATTCTCCGTCAGGGCACATGCCCAGGTTGTGGGTTTGATCCCTAGTGTGGGGTGTGCAGGAGGCAGCTGATCAATAATTCTATCTCATCATTGATGTTTCTATCTCTCTCTCCCTCTCCCTTCCTCTATAAAATCAATAAAAAATGTTTAAAAAATTTTGGGTACTGACTGTAAAGAACTTCCCTGGTAGACAGTTCTCACTGGTCACACAGTTCATCCCTGGTTGAAGTAAGCTTGCCCTGTGTCACTCCACTGGGAGGGAAGTTTAAACTTGGTTTCCTGTGACCTTTGTCCTGTGTCTTTTCCCTTTGCTGAGTTAGCTTTGAATTATTTTGCTAATAAACTATAGCTGTGGTTTATATGCTGTGTCCTGTGAGTCCTCCCAACCAACCATCAAACTGGAGGGAATCTTGGGACCCATGATGCAGAAACAAAATATTACCAGAACTTGGTAACAAAATCTATATATTGAAAATTTGGAAACACACGTTTTGAAATCCTAGATTTTTTGTGTGGAAAATTAGTAGACCATTTCATGGGGTAAATAAAAAGGAGTATGTTGCTAAAATGACATCCTCATTATATTCGTCAAAATCAGATTGGCTTTCTCCAGGTGGAACAGGGAACTTGGCCATGGTATCTTCAAGCATACATTGTTATAGTCTGGCAATCTGAACGGAAAGCATTTTTCCTGCCAGCACCAGTGAGCAAAAGTCCTGGGGACATTCTGGTTGGCTTGATGAGCTTCACACCCCATCTCCTGATGGCCATGGCAATGGGTAGATATCATGATTGATCAGCTTAGGGTAGAACCAGTAACCAGGAGAAAGGAATGGTGTGTGGCCACACAGAGATGGCCATTGGAGCAATGGCTTCAAAGTAAGAAGTCACCATAATTGTGGATACAGCACCCATCTTTTTTTTTTTTTTTTTTTTTGCCACTGACTTGTTTTAAAGCATGGCTGTTTTCATAAATGTCTGCTGCTTCATTCTCTCCAGGGGGGAGTTTGAATCTCATTAAATTCATATGAAAAACCTACTACAACAAACACTTCCTGTCAGATAGGATCCTAACTCATTTTTTGTGGAGCCCAGCACAGGCCTGGTCAAATGAGGACACGTTATACTTGAACTGATGACCACATATGTGCATACTGCTCTATAAATGAACTGAAAAGACAAATAACAATGGTTGGAATGAAGGGTCCTTGCATAGCTGTTGCTTCTGCCTGCACCACCGGTTCTCCTGATGATCACATATCAGGTTCCTTGTTATTTATATCTCCTATGAGGGGTGCACTCCCTATACCCAAAGGAGCATCCTTATCTCTGAAGACAAGGGACACGGAGCAAACAGGCCTAGCTAAGTTCCCCCCAGTTCACTACACTCAGCTCATACCACCGAGCAAAACTGGCCAGGGTGTTACATATATTTTTAAGTTCTTACAGTTTTCCTGGAAAACCAAATGGAACACTTATTACGTGAAAATTTCTATACCTCCGTATCAGTCTTTTGTGGAAAGGCAAGCTTTATTTCCAAGCAACCTGACCAGAGCGGCCAGGGGGTCCAGAACTACAAACTAGTAGAAAGGAGAACACAGTTACATGTTCCACTGGCAGGGTCTCAGTGGGGAGTCTCACCAGTTCCTCCTGATCGCCAAGCACCTGCTCAGGTTCCTCTTCAGGCTGAACCTAAGAAAGTAGGCTTGAAGAAGCCCATGACATCTTTGTTGTCCAAACACACCTATTTCAAGAAAGAAAACACCTGGAGGCAACTTGAGGGAATCTGCTTAATTATTAAAATAAATATTTACATGGAAATACAGTTCTTCACATTTTCACACTTAAAAGAGACACAGAGATTTCCTTCATGTTTTCAGCAGTGGAGTTGGTAAAGATCCTGCCTGTTTCATAGGAAATGTATTACTTTCGATTACTCCTCACAACAGCCACCTGGAAGATTATTCCATCACTTTTGAAGGACTGGTTGGGTTGGCATCTGCAATGGTAGCCAAATAAATGAGATTTCTGTGTAGCACATGCTGGTACCTACGGGTGAAAAACAGGCAAAAATTAGTCTTGTTTTTACTGAACATGAACAAACAACTGGAAGAGAATTTACCTACTCTAGTGGAAAGGCTCATCCATAGACTGATGAGTCAGTGTTATTCACCTTCTTGTTTAACACTTTCAAGGAAAATATATCCACTTATTTCCATAGGCACCTCTCTAGACTATGGTATTGAACCAAACTTCTAAACTGGTTCCTGTGCTCTATCTCTGTACCCCTACACATAACAGCCTGAGTGATCACTGTACAATTTAAGATCATGTCCTATCTCTGTTTAGTACTTTTCAAAGGCTCCCATCTCATTCTGAGCAAAGCTGAGCCCTTCTCGTGGCCCACAAGGCCCTACAAGATCGGGACCTCTAGTTGCCTCTCTGATCTCATCTTCTACCACTTTCCCTTTGCTCACTGAGTTCTGGTTACAGCGGCATCCTTGCTGACATTTAAAGACATGGAGCACACCCCAGCCTGGGGGCTTTTCCACCTCATGCTCTGCCTCACATACTGCACAGCTGGCTCCCTTACCTCAGGTATCTCCTCAAATGTCACATCAGAGACAGCTGGTATAACACAGCACCCTGCCCCCCACTTACCCACACTTTATTCTTATTCAAAGAGTTATTAGCATGTGCTTAATTATATGATCTCCTCTGGCTGGGTTGGCATCTGCAATGGTAGCCAAATAAATGAGATTTCTCTGTGGCACATGCTACACAGAAGGTAAGCTCCACGCCTGCAGAGCTATTGTTTTGGTCCTGATTCCCAGTAGCTAAGACAGTTCCTGGTACTCAGCAGGACATACAAAATACCTGAACAAACTTAAAAGCAGGGATGGAATACCTCCACGTGTGCTTCCTATCGTAGTGATTCTCGGTCAGGGAGTCGAGCTCCCTACCAAGGAAGAAAAGTCAGACTAGGAAGCAGGAGGCATGGCAGGTGCAATGTGAAAAAGCCCACCAGGAGACTTCGATAACTTTCTTACCCAGAGGCTGAGAATCACTGCACCAAACGGAATGCTTTGCAACTCTTTCTCATATAGAAAAAATGGGAGTGTTTACTATAAACTGCAAAAAAGCAAATGACCAAATGCCAGAGTCAAATACCGTCTTTATCCAAAGACGGATTATCTCTACTATTCCACTGAGCTGTTCAGTGAAGGATTGTAGGTGTTTTTTTTTTTTTGGGGGGGGTGGGGGGAAGAGCATGGCTTTCTTAACTATGACTTCAGTAACAATGAAATAATGTATTTTTCTATAATAAACGGCATAATTCCTGGACTACATTTAGAAAACAGATTATTTTCTCTTCACTAGAGCACATTAAATTATTGTACAAAATTTACCTCTGGCTTAACTTAGACATCTTTCATTGGTCTTTGTGTGTTAACGTTGCAAATGGTCTGACCCCACCCAACTGAACAGAAAAGGGGTGAGCCGCAGGGGATCCACGATAAGACAGCCGCCGCCACCACGCGCTCCCAGGAGCACGGCCACCCCTTTATTTCCTCTCAGGCTGCCTCTCCTAAACTGTAAGGGTCCCCAAGAGACTTGCAACC